ACACACAAAGTAGGGGAGGCTGCAGCAGTTTGCTTTTGCTTGAGATTATTGGGAAGGGGCAAAATCCCATCCCTCTTCTCCTGTCTCCCCTGCTGAGTTAACTGAGTGCAAACTATTTTGCACTTTGAATTCAGTTTGCAGCAATTGAAGTAAGTTAAGCAGGAATGTGGGAGGAGGAGAGGGAAACTGAGAAATTTTAAAAGCAGCTGAAAAAGTGTGGGATGACAGAGATTAATCAGTAATTGGGACACCAGGAAGCTAGTTTTGCAATCCAAATCTTATGCACACTTTCCTGAAGGTAAGTACCATGGTACCCAATGGGATATACCCACAAGTAAATGTGCATATCCCGAGTTGACTCATAGAAGCATGAATATCGATGGGTTGCTTTTGGAGCATTTTCTGGTATCAGAGCTCACAATAAGATGGTAACAGGAAATGTGTTACCAAATCAGAAAGCACTTCTTTAAAGTCACCACACTACTCTTCATGACTACAAATTTCCGATTAAAACAGGAGGGAGTGTGTGAAGCTGAAAGATTTTAATCCCAGACTTCAAGCTGCTAAATGATCATAAATCCACTGTACGTTAAACAGAGACTTGTATTGATTGCTTGATATCCTTCACTGAATGCAACTCATGAGCAGCCAATTAATGCTGCCTGGACACAATGAGAAGCATGTTTTGTTGGAGATGAAAGGTTCCAACCTGCCTGAAAAAATCAAATCATTTTCAGCCAAAGGTTGGACATATTTAAGAGGCTTTGTCTGCATTTACATTCAGTGGAATGCTTTGAACTTTCTATTGCCAAGTCCATAACTATGGCCATGCTAGATGACTCCATGGAGGATATGGCCATCAAAGGCTAGCAATCAAGTAGGCTTCATATTGTCAAAGGTAGCATATGTCTAAAGACCATCTGCCAGAAACTGAGCAGGAGGCTCTGCTCAGCAATTGCCCCTTTGCTCTGCTTATAGGTTTTCATAGAATCATAGAATCATAGAGTTGGAACAGACCACAAGGGC